GCGTGCTCCATCTCTCACCACATGCTCCATCCCTCCCCGCGTGCTCCATCTCTCACCGTGTGCTCCTTCTCTCACCGCGTGCTCCATCCCTCACCACATGCTCCATCCCTCACCGCGTGCTCCATCACTCACGGTGTGCTCCATCACTCACCGCATGCTTCATCCCTCCCCGCGTGCTCCATCTCTCACCGCCTGCTCCTTCTCTCACTGCATGCTCCATCTCTTACCACATGCTCCATCTCTCACCGCGTGCTCCATCTCTCACCGCATGCTCCATCTCTCACCGCGTGCCCCATCCCTCACCGCGTGCTCCATCCCTCACCGCGTGCTCCATCCCTCCATGCATGCTCCATCTTTCACCACATGCTCCATCCTTCACCGCATGCTCCTTCCCTCCCTGCATGCCCCATCTCTCACGGTGTGCTCCATCCCTCACCGCGTGCTCCATCCCTCACCACGTGCTCCATCCCTCACCGTGTGGTCCATCCCTCACCGCATGCTCCATCCCTCCCTGCACGCTCCATCTCTCAACACATGCTCCATCCCACACCCTGTGCTCCATCCCTCACCACGTGCTTCATCCCTCACCGCGTGCTCCACAACTCACCGCGTGCTCCATCCCTCACCGCGTGCTCCATCACTCCCTGCATTCTCCATAACTCACCGCGTGCACCATCCCTCACCGCGTGCTCCATCTCTCACCACATGCTCCATCCCTCACCGTGTGCTCCATCCCTCCCCGCATGCTCCATACCGCGTGCTCCATCACTCACCGCGTGCTCCATCCCTCACCGCATGCTCCATCCCTCACCACGTGCACCATCCCTCACCACGTGCTCCATCCCTCACCGCGTGCTCCATCCCTCACCTCGTGCTCCATAACTCACCGCGTGCTCCATCAATCCCGACATGATCCATCACTCCCTGCATTCTCCATCACTCACTGCGTGCTCCATCCCTCACCACGTGCTCCAGCCCTTACTGTCTGTTCCATCCCTCACTGTGTGCTCCACCCCTCACTGTACTCCATCCCTCACTGCGTGCTCCACCCCTCACTCTGTGCTCCGTTGTCTGTATTCAGCCTGTTGGACAGCTGCCAGCATTGCTTTGTTTTGAGAATCGAACTTAGACAGGGGTGTTCCCCCTGACAGACCAAAGACAAGCTCTAAGAGCTGGAGTAATCTCGAGCTGTTGTGAGCCTGTCTCCAGCTGGCTGCATTAACACATGTTCTGGGGCAGATGATACATAGCCTTTCAAATAAAGTACATTAAAGCCCTGTTAATTAGCCTGATTACTGGAAGATCTGATCTCTCTTTGCAGTGCTTTGTTTCCATTCCATTTGATATTTGGCAGGAGGCAGTCGAAATAGCAGCTTCTGCCTGTCTCTCGAATGATTAAGTCAGCGAGTATCAACTTGCTACCAGATCCAGACGTCCACTATTCACTGTGGCATTGAAAATGTTCATTGTTTTACAATATTTCCTCCTGTCATAATTTCTACTCAATATGTTTGGAAATAATAATCACTATGGTTTAAAATTGTTAAATGGGATTGCCACCAGCCTTGGGTAATTCTTAATTACTCTGATTGTCAGACACGTTTGACGTTAAAGTTGCAGAGTGAGCTCACTGTTTTCCTCACACAGCCAAGTTCCAGCTCAGTATGCCTTATCCGGTTCCCCCAGTGCTTCATTCTCACTGGGGGCAGAAGGCTGGTTGATTCATTAATCTCTGTCTCACTATCTCTGGCGTAGGGAGATGAATTCCCATGGAATCACCATTCTCTCCTTCCCTGTGACCCTGGGAGGGGGTTTGGGGGTGTGGGGGTTGGGGTGCAGCATGGCTGATGCCTAATTTATCTCTCTTTCTCTGTGACACTGGGAACAGAGACTGACTAAATTTTACCCCTGCCCCCAACCTCCCAGACCTGCTGTACCAGTCTTTCACTCTCCCCCCTCTCCCTGTGACCCAGCAACACCGGGAGCAGGACCCTGACTGGATCTGTCCCTCACTCTCCCCCTCACCCTATGACCAAAGGGCCATGAGGCTATTCCAATTATTGATCTGATACACATCTGTGGGTGCCCCTCGATTATAGGGGATTGAACCTGTGATCTTTCCAATCTTGAAGCTTCATTTATTGTGCAGCCACAGTTGTAATGTTGCATTCAAATTGTCACAGGCCAGAGTGCTGGAGTACATTAGCATCAGTATCTGAAATGTCAGTTGTTTTCAATGTAGTTTCCAATAAAGTTAAACATTGTTGTGAACGCTGCAAGGTGTACATTGTTGTATGTTGTGATACCTCTTTACATTGTCATCCAGTTTGCTGTACACAACTCAAACCATTTTGAGGAACGCTATATTTCAGAAGGTCTTTTCTGCCTGTCCCAAGTATGTGATGGAACCACTCCACATTCAGCTTCCTTTTGTCCTTCAACACTCAAGGCTGAAATTTTCAAAGCCTTGGAATGAAGTGGACAATAGTGAGTCAGTTGCGAAAAGATGGCGAGATTGGGAAAACAAGATTCCTGATGTTGGAAAAAAGATGTTCAATTCGACAACCCAAGCTGGGATGAGAATCTCACCTGTGAGCAGTAAGAGGCCTGTTTGTATCTATTTTCATGCATTAACAAGCCATTATTCTCTCATTTCACATCATCAACGTGCAGTTTCTATTTCTCTCATCCATCAGCTGGAAACCAGACGGGTGATAATTCACACATCTCCGATCCATGTACAATATAGACCTGCACTTTGGAGTACACTGGCACCTTTCATTGCAATGCTGCTGGCAGGACGCTTAGTGAGCAGGAACAGGCACCCATCTCCTGGGTTCAACCAGGGGGCATCTCGGAGCTCCTTGCTTTCTCACTTTGCAAGTACTTGGATGCTGACAGCATCTCTGTCTTGCCTTATCCTTTTGCCCCATCAGTCAGAGCTTAAAGGCTCACAGGACTTGTATATTGCCTTGCTGTCCTGCACAGAAAGGCAGCATGTAGTGGTCATCAAACAACGGGTTGGTCAAGTTGCTGTTGGACACTGAGCATGTGCCATGCAGCAAACACCATGCATGTGTTTCAACCAAACGGCCATGTCTCAAAGTCTAAGGGGAATATTCCTCAGTCAAGTCAAGTGAGGGCATGCAGGGTAACTGGTCTGTATGGGAGTGAGACGCCGCTTGCCATGGTGAGAGTGGTAGAGCATGAGGCTTGTTGGGAGGTGGATGCAGTAGCAGAGATAGAATGCAAATGAGGTGGCAGAGAGCAGATGGTGGGTACTCACCCTGGCAGAGCGTAGATGGGTCATTGACCTTCTAGCTGCATTCTAGCTGCACGGACCACAGAAACTGGGTGGCAACTTTGGACCAGCCTGGCTGGGCTGTGCTGAGGGAAGAGTGACCCGCCTCTGCATTGCCCTGTCCATCAAGAGCTGGGTTTCAGAGGATAACATGAGAAATCTGAGAGGGTGTGAGAAGGCGTGAGAGGATGGCATGGTGGCTCAGTGGTTAGCAGCTGCCTCATAGCGCCAGGAACCCGAGTTCAATTCCAGCCTTGGGTGACTGCTCCTGTGGAGTTTGCACATTCTCCCCATGTCTGTGTGGGTTTCTTCCAGGTTCTCTGGTTTCCTCCCATAGGCCAAAGACTATGTTCAGCAGATTAGCCATGCTAAATTGTCCCATAATGTCCAGGGATGTGTAGACTAGATGGATTAGCCATGGGAAATGTGGGGTTATGGGGATGGGGTACAAGGCTGGGTCTGGGTAGGATGCTGTTCAGAGGGTTGATGCAGACTCTTTCCACTCTGCAGGGATTTCTATAATTAGGCTCACGGAGAGAAAAACCCTTTATGAAACTCGCAAAAGTTGGCACTTAGCAGTTTCTGGTCCAATTCAGCCCACAGTTTCGTGCTGGTGTTGTATTGCTGTCCCAGCTCTTAGGATCTTGGGGATTCTTCTGCCTGTTGTTAAGATTGGTTGGGCTCAGTCTGTGTCTGTCCTGTCTATCAACTTCCGAGTCAGAAGCCAGTGGATTTGGACCCCATTCCAACGGTTGACACTTGTAGTGATTGGAACCAGATGGACCCCATTGACTATGAGATCCTTGATTGGGGTTGTTAGCCTGGGCCAAGCAGGAAAGCCCTGGTTGACCAATATTAGCAGGAGATTTGGAATCTCCTCAGTTCAGGGGACTGACTGCGAGCTGACTGGTGACAGCCAGTGTATTGTGCACAAGTAAATAAAGGATGACTGGGTAATGGGATACCGGTCTTTGTGGAGTTATTTCAGTGTCAATAGGAGAAAACAACATAAGCCTGAAGAACATTTGCTCGCAACAGTCATCTGGAGTTGGGGTAAGCATTTCTTGCATCATGCTCTTATTTGGAAAGCTTGACTCATTTGATCCTGCTGTCAAAGACTGGGCCCAGTATGTGGAAAGAATGCGATTTTTTTTTTCCAGGCAAATGACACTGGGGCAGATGAAAAGCAACAAGTAATCCTTCAGACTGCTTGCAGACCTGCAGCATTTTTGGTTATAAGGGGCTTAACTTTCCCAGAGACACCAGACACTAAAACCTTCCAAGAGTTGACAGAGTTGGTTAAGGAATATTACGACCCCAAACTTTCTCTCATTCTGAGATATTATCAGTTTTATTTGGCTGTTAGAGGAACAGGGGAATCCTTAGCGAGAATTTTGACGCGGTCAAGACCACTGGCAGAGGCATGTGATTTTGGGTTAACCCTGAATTAGATACTAGAGACTGTACGTGGGATTAATGATGTAGCCATGCAGAAGCGCCTACTAGCTGAAGCCCAACTGGACTTTAAAAAGGCACTACAACTAGCCATGTCATTAGAAAAGACAGCAAGTGGAGCACGGGAACACCAGAGCATCCCAATGGATGTGGACACCCTCACCCTGTCCAACTGAGTTTGGGGAACACCTCGAATGTAAGCAATCACAGAGCCTCACGCAGGACATATCCTGAGCAGAGGGACCCTAGACTAGCCTACAGCAGAACCCCACAACAAAGCCAAGCCTCAGCCAAGTGGCTAAAAAGTTCTTCGGGATCTGGGCCGGAAAGCCATTTTAGTTGCTGCTAATATGCGGACTCGAGGCAGCAAAGGAGTCCTAAAAGGCCTGACTTGAGTAAGAAAACTCGTAGGCCGTTACCTAGGAGAGTGCACACCCTGGAAAGTCCCCCCTACATGTGGGTTGGAACAATTGAATTGCTTAGCAATATCCAAATCAGAACCGATTAAAATTAATGTTTGGTTAAATGGTCACATTGTTCCCATGGAGGTCGGCATTGGCACAGCTGTATCTGTGGTTGCAGAATCTGTCTTTAACAAGATTCGATTTGGACTCCAACCCTTAAATTTGCGCAAGGCCTCAGCCAAACTGAGAACATAGGCTGGAAAACCATTGTAGATTAAGCATACAACTTCGGCATACAACTCTAGTCTCCTATGAGAAGGAGTTGGTGCCTACTGGGGCAGAATTGGTTGAGAAAGATTCACCTAGAATGGCCCAACATTTTTCAATTAGAAAATGGCTTCCTCAGTGAAGTTCTAGTGAAATACTCAGGAGTTTTTCAGGAAGGGCATGGGACAATCAAAGAGACCAAAGCCACTTTACATGTTGACCAAGAAGCAATTCCAAGATTTTGCAAGGCCCGCCCAGTGCAATTTGCCTTGTGGCCAAAAGTAGAGGCAGAAATCAGGAGACCAAGGAGCGAAGGTATTGGTTTGATGAAACCAGTGCAGTTTGCAGAATGGATAGCAGCACTGGTTTTACCGATTGTGAAGCCTGACGGCTCAGTTCACCTTTGTGGGGATTTTAAGCAAACAGTAAACCACTTCTCAAGGCTGATTCCCTCGAATAGAGGACTTGTACACAAAGTTGGCGGTGGGCCTATCTTTTATGCAGCTGGACATGAGCCACGCCTACCCGCAAGTGCAACTGAACGAGGACTCCCAGAAGTACGCTACAATTAATACCCATAAGGGTTTATACCAATGTACAAGACTGCCATTTGGGGTATCATCAGCCTGTGCCCCTTTCCAGCAGACAATGGAGAACATTTTACAAGGGCTACTCCAGGTTGCCACTTAACTGGATGACGTACTAATAACAGGGAAGACCAATAAAGAGCACTTGGAGCGCTTGGATATAGTGCTTAAACGTTTCTCCCAGGTGGGCTTGCGCCTTAGAAGGGAAAAGTGCATGTTGCAGGCGCCCCAAGTCACCTACATGTGTTATGGAGTCGAAAAAACCAGGTTACACCCATTGGAAGATAAAGTGAGGGCAATCAAAGGAAACCCGGCACCAACGTCTGTACCAGAGCTTAGGTCTTTCCTTGGGTTAGTGAATTATTATGGAAATTTCTTATGTAACCTGGCCTCCATCTTGGAAATGGTCATGTAGTCAAGAAGTAGCCTTAAGGGAAGTGAAAAAGCAGCTATCGTCATCTAAGGTGTTGGCCCACGATGATCTGAAGCAAGAGGTAGTGCTGATATGCGATGCCTTCCTGTACAGCATCGGGGTAGTGTTGGCTCACTGGTGGCCTAACGGAGAGGAACGCCCAATTGCATATGCTTCCCAGACTTTGGTTGATGCCAAACACAAAAATGCCCAGATAACGAAGGAAGATTTGGCAGTCATCTTTGGTGTGAGGTGGCTCCACCAGTACTTTTACGGATGGGAATTTGTCATAGTAACAGATCATAACCCCTTGCTAGGGCTATTGAAGGAAGACAAGGCAATACAACCCATAGCTTCCGGTAGAATTCAGCGTTGGGCCCTTATTCTCAGCGCATACAAACACAAGTTAGAACTCCGTCCAGGAAGCCAAGTGGCCCAACCGGATGCCTTGAGCCGCCTCCCACTGACAGATACTCCATTGGTGGTGCCTCCCCTGGAAGAGTCCATTTTGGTTTTAAACTTCCTGGACACGCTTTCGGTCACCGCTGACAATATCTGACTATGGACACAAAAAGATCCTGTCCTAGCATAACTGAAACAGCTGGTGGTAATGGGGGAAGCAGAAGGGCCATTACAACCAGGATTGAAACTTTTCTGGACCCAGTGAGACCAGATCACGGTAGAGGACGGCATATTACTGTGGGGAGCAAGGGTGATTGTCCCGAGTAAAGATCACTGCCAGATACTAGCTGAGTTCCACCAGGGTCATCCAGGGATTTCCAAGATGAAGATGCTATCAAGAAGCTATGTTTGGTGGCCAGGGTTAGGTGCTGATATGGCTGCAT